TCCTCTTTTACATCCCTGGTAGCACATTCACAAATTTAATTTCAAAACCTCCAAAATGACTGTAGTCTGAAGTGGGTCTTCATGTTGCCTGTTTTACCCGTTCATATCCTCGGCTAACTTCGATTGAATAAATACAGACTACTTCTGTTCTATCAGTATACTGGATTAATTTAAAATGTCCTTCAATGAAAGTACTTTAAAGTAATTGAAGAATATAGACTCTGTTATATCTAAACATGATGCTGTTTTTGCTCCATTCTAATTGAACGCTCTTTCTGATCGACCAGCTAGATATGACTTTTAGTAATATAATATAGTAATTCGAAAGTGTATCAATTTATTACTTAATAACAATAGAAAACTGATCACCAACTTTATGACCAGTAAATAATTCTGTTAATATCTAACGTAAATATATCTTGGAAAATGTTCTCATCATTGGTTGGTTAGTACCAATTTTATTGTGAAAACATCGGCTTGCATAATAACATCTGACATAATGTACTATTTCGAGATTGGATCAATTTATTACTTAATAACATTAGAAAACTGATCACCCACTTTGTGACCAGTAGATGTTGGCTTGCATAATAACATCTGACATAGTGTAAGTGACTTCAACGATAAACGGAAGTGCCAAAAATGAGAGAGAGCTGTATAATATCAACTAGCTCTGCTAACGTCAGGTACGACAGGTACGGTATACACAATGCATTACGGTCGTTGCACGAGGTTTTCTATACAGGTAACACCTAGTGCTTTCTATTACTGTGTTGTTTTAGTTTCGTGAAACTGCAACAGGTTCCGTCATATGTCCAATAGTTCTGAATTTGGTTTAAATCGGTTTTGCATTGGGGGCGGGGGGTGGCTAATAAAAATCAATTGAGTGATCCTGTAAAACGTTTCGTACCTCCCGCGCAAGATGGCGGGTTGTGTTAAATTTCTGGAACAATTACTGGAAAAGATCGCTCGTAACTAGATTTGTGTATATCACACCTATCAAGACTGACTTCAGTTTAACTAGTGGTCTGTTTTAACTCCAACAGAACACACTTTTCACAATTACAGCATAGTACCGAGTTGAGAAGCTGGATCCATTGACTCATGCAGTCTCCTCCACGCCCGAACTCCGCCGTCCACCAGGAAAGAGCGCTACACAATGCGGAAATAGGCCCAGGATGGCAAATTACTGGTCAGAAGACGCTATGGGCATGGAATTCTGCCAGTGATGGAATCCCCTTTTCTAAGTTTTGGATATAAGACCAAGACGTCGCGAAGAGAGCGGCAAGAATTTTGAAGAGTCAACACGTCTTCCGTGCCCAGATTCCTAAGAAAGGGTAAACCGCACGTGGCGAAATGCTAAGCCAAGGAGTATGTTCTTGTGAAGATATTCCTACCGCTACCTCCTAGAATCGATATTACCGCATCTGATCCTTGTATAATAAATCAAATAAGAGCAAGATATTGTCTTTCGTTGATACAATCTACGATGGACTGATGACAGTGGCAATACCAAATGCGACAAGAGACGGAAACGTGTCGTCTAACTAGGTGATATGGCAGCTGTCTTAGATGGTCCAATCGTAATGTTCTCTAATCTAAGTAAAGCATGCTAATCGATGCCATCTATCAATAATGGTTTGTTAATTTGTTTAGCGCCATATAAACAGCTTATGGGTTATTTAATGCCGAAATTTAATTTTCTTCGGAGCATTAATAATTATTTTTACAAAAATGTATTACTAGAAATATTCCTTTTTTTTTTACAAAAATGTATTGGTGGTATTTTTTTACTATGAAAATGTATTGGTGATATTTTTACTCTAAAAATATTTTTTTATATTTTCATAATGTTTTGAACCTAGTGTGTGGTTTCATTATTTGCCCATAGTTGGACCCCCCACCGCTAACAGGTGCTACCACCCCGGGTTAGGGTGAACCTTGGAACAACAGCAATTAAGAGATGGTTCCACGCTCCTCAAAACGTTCCGATGGTACTCTTTTTGGTCGAATATAAACCTAGATGACAACGTTGTATAATGCATTGACCAATAAGTTGGTCGATACTAGCGTTTAGTTGGGAATTGGTTGTAATATAATGCGATGTTACCCTTTGCTAGGTGATTACCATCCTTGTTCGAGGTCAGTGATCTCTCTTATCACGTATGAGCACCGTAGTTTTCAATTACGTCTGTCATGTCGATATTTATTTACATGTTTCTTGTATCCTTTTGCAATTTAATTGAAATGCAGTAAAAGTTCAGGGACTGCCATGGAAATAACATTGACTGAATAATGAATCTCTGAGTTTATATAAATAAAAGAAAGCTGGAAATTTTTTATCAACATTACAATGAATCTTTTTCGAAAGATGGAGAAAGCATTAAGCATTCATTTCGACATTTCCCAAACGAGGCTGGATGCCGCCATGTTTTTTTTTCTCTCATTTGTGTATTCTGTATCTCCCATTCTTGACAAGAGATTGCAGTACGAAACAGTAGCCTAATACAGAGGTTGGACGAAAAACTTGATTGTGGCGTAAAATATAGACAGGGACAACTTTAAAGTGATTTCCAAGTGAGAAATAGAAAATTTTCTAGTGATCGGTTTTGCCGGATGTCGAAATATTAAATACGCTAACAAAATAAACTAAGATGCATTCGTTAACAAAGATCGAATGTTTGCTGTGGTATCTTTTTGCCTGTCATATATCCTCGCTGTTTTCAAATGATTTATATTCTGAACATGATAAACAAGCGAATAAGGTTATGTTGGCAGTCTATAAGAAATATGGAAAACATCGGATTCATTTAATACCCCTCTTATGTTTGGTATATCACTCTGTGTAGTAGCAGTCGTAGTATAGTTCGCCGCGTTACGTATAGCAAACGGGTTCGCTAAGCAATGTCTCTATGTTCACCAGTTGTTCTCTATTATTCTTGTACACCCAGTAAGGCCCTGTGTCTTAGTGAATTTTCTGCAGTGCGTGGGGTGAAACCGGTTAAAAAAAAAGAAAACAAAAATGATCCAATATTGTATGGGTGCACTTCCAAAATTCTAGATAACCAAGATCTGTCAACTGATCTCCCCTCTGATGTAGGTTTAACAGCTCAATGGGGTAAATGGCTTGTAATATTCAGTACCTTCAAAACCAAGCCTCTAACGTTTCATTGTCCTTGAGCTGACCTCGAATTTCGGCTTATCATGTTGAAGGGTTATACACTAAATAGAGGGGTCTGGTGGCTTTGAACGTGTATTAGGAGTAACGACTAAAAGTTATCAATTTACAATTTAAAATCATAACCTGCTCAAATGTATGGTAAACAGTTATCTTTCCTACATATCTGCAGAGATAGATAGATAGATAGATAGATAGATAGATAGATAGATAGATAGAGATAGAGATAGATAAGAGATTGAGATAGATTGAGATAGATAGAGAGAAAAGAGATAGATAGATAGATAGATAGATAGATAGATAGATAGATAGATAGATCCTGAGCCACGTTAATAGTTTGGTAATGAAATTTAGGATTTCTAGGTTTTCTGTGAATTGATTTTGATAAACCTTTCTTCAGCAAGTTTGCACAAAATATGTCAACGCGATTGTCAAATTTACATTATTCTGTGTAACATGTTTTATGTTGTGGGTGAACCAGCGTTTGAGTAAAAATAGCCCATCTAAACATTTTTTTGAGAAAATGAAGGCTGATGTTACATATCAAGCATACCTTGAGTATATATTTAACAGAAAATCATAAAATTATTACATGATTTATCGATATAATTATTTTGACCACATGAATGCCATTTCGACGGATAACTTCAAAAACCCTATTAATCATGAAATCTGTGAATTTTTTTATCATAGCAAGTTTAACAACCTTTGCTGCAGCTATGATAGTCGCTTATAAGATATCTTTTGATGTAAATTAGCTTCCACCATTATGAACAGCTTCTTTAATGATGGACCAAAGATTTTCGATAGAGACGAGATCCGGAAAGGCAGGCGGACACACCATCAAGTTTTCATCTTGTATACTGTAAGAGTCTAATAATGCTTGGGTGACCCTAGAAGAGTGGGAGAGAGCGTTGTCGTGCATGAATACTAGAGTCATTAAAAGTGATAGAGGTATGTGATCTTAGCCATGAATCCAAGACTTCCTTTAGAAGGTTGCGGTTAGCGGCTGCGAACACTTTAAAAAAGTTCAGTTACCATGACTGGACCAACAATGATACCAGCCCCCAACATGACTCTTCTATCCTGTTATTGACGCTGTAAATATTGGAGACGCTCATCTCCGACATAGACCCAATCATTTGTCCAACCGCCCTGGTCTCGCCAGTAAACAGAACACAACTCATGTCTAACGTCATGTACTTCTGAGCCCATTGAAGCCTCAAATTCCTGTGGAAAGGCATTAAAGGAGGCAATTTCAAGAGAGCTCGCACGGAAGCCATGGTTCCAATAATGCGATTCCTGGTGGATTTCGGTACATGAGGAACTCAAGCGGCGGTGAAAATGGTTTTGCTAGTTTGTCTAGGTATCCAACGTGACTTTCAGACAATGTTCCTTAAATTCGTAGCTGTCATACTCTGGGGCGGGGGGTCCCACAAACGGAACGTCTCTTCCTTGGCTAAGAATCCCTTAAAAATTGACTAACCGTGTCCACATGATGACCTAACTTTGCAATGACATACATGATGAAAGGTGTCTTTAGCACTTTGATTGATGAAGACAAACTTTTCTCCATCATTGAGACATTTTCCACGTCTGATTGTTCTGAGAGAGGAAAGACATTATTAGAATGGTTCACCCACAAACTGTCGAATTTAAAATAATACATAAAGGATGTTACACAGAATAATGGAAAACTAACAATGGTGTTGCCATATTGTGTAAATCATCTGGAGAAAGTGTTATAAAAATTAATTCACAGAAAACCGAGAAATCCTAAATTTCACTACCAAGATATTAGCGTTGTTCCGAGTGTAGCTAGTTAGCTATCTAGATAAGGAAGAGATTGAGATAGATAGATAGATAGATAGATAGATAGATAGATAGATAAGGAATAGATTGAGATAGATAGATAGGTAGATAGATAGATAAGGAAGAGATTGAGATAGATAGATAGATAGATAGATAGATAGATAGATAGATAGATAGATAGATAGATAAGGAAGAGATTGAGATAGATAGATAGATAGATAGATAGATAGATAGATAGATAGATAGATAGATAAGGAATAGATTGAGATTCATATATAGATAGATAAGGAAGAGATTGAGATAGATAAGGAAGAGATTGAGGATAGATAGATAGATAGATAGATAGATAAGGAAGAGATTGAGATAGATAGATAGATAGATAGATAGATAGATAGATAGATAGATGAATGAAATGAACAGAATGAGATAGATAGATAGATAGATAGATAGATAGATAGATAGATAGATAGATAGATATGAAGGAACTGAGATAAATATGAGTGAGTAATCTGTATGCTTTCAAGGGCAAATTACTGAAAAGTCCTTGGCTATGATTAAAGATATAATTAAGAAAATTTAAACGCTATTTCTGAAATGAATGCTTTCGAATCGAAGTCAATTTGAAACGCGTCTAGAGAAACTGAAAATAGAAGCTACAGAAGCGGCAAAAAATAATAATTCCTCCAAGCGTTTGATTCTTGTAAGCAAAATATATTAGATCGCGCGTACGAGGCATATTATAAAAAATATGATTCAGATTAGAAAAAAAAAATCGAACGTTAATAATGTCCTTAGGTGGTTTACAATTTCAAGAAGACGGATAAATTATACGTGGAGCGAGTTATCGAGAAATATTTTACTAAACATTGAAAATCTATTAAGATCTAGAAAATTTGAAACAGCGTTTTTCCTCATTATCTATGACACCGATCCACTAAAAAAAAAAATCTTTAAATATCTTAAAACGTGATTTGTTTTTAAAATTTGCAGTAAATAATTTTGAAGAGAACAATATTGTAGAACTGTTTAATATTTCAAAAGAAGAAATTCATTGAAAATTTTCATTTTCTTTATATAATTTCTACTGACATTTTACAGCATTTCACTTGGTATATTCTAAAGAATTCTTTTCATGAGAATCTTTTTCACTATTATTATTTTATTATTAGTTTTACTCCTTATTATTGTTATTTTTACATGTATCATTTTTATTATCGTTAGTTTATTACGAGTTCTATTTCACTTTTTTATTGTAAACTTTTTAGGTTAACAGGTTCACTGTTATTATTTTATTACTAGTTTGATTCCATCTTATTATTGTTGCTTTCGGACTTCACCGTCACATTTTAACGAGCGTCTTTTACTTCAGTACCCGGTTATTTAAAATGCTGTACTTGCCTGTGTATGATATATTTAATTTGAAGTTAATTCTTATGGCTGTCTCTCTTGCCGACTGCCGCGTCTTCTAATCTCGGAGACCATGAAGTTGTTTTGAGTTTGTCACCAACATAATGTCGTCTGCGTATATTGTTGTTAAGATTATGTCCGCCGACAATAGATTTTGCTATATCTTCTAGATCTTGTACGATAAGTTCGCTGTATGGGTTAAATAAATCCCATTAGGAAATGTACCCGAGTCTTATCCTTTTTTTCCATTTTTGCGGATTTGTACAACTCAACGAAAGGAATGGAGGATTTGCAATGACTGATTCGGACTGCTGTCGATCTAATGATTAAGAAATCCCATTGTATGAGAATACTTGTTTTGGCTTCCATAGAAGGAATCAGTTTACAATGAGTTTCCATAGTAAACTAAACATACATATTAACTAATATAAAATTTAATTACATTGTTTTTAAGATATTCGTGATCTGGAGTCGTTAATCTATTGTGATATGAAAGCGAAATTGTAAAAAAAAAGATTATTTTTGTTTGCAGTGCAACTCTAATGAAAAAAGAAAATTCATGTTACATTTTGATTATGTTTTTGTAATGACTTGAAGATCAATGTCTATTTCAGTCTGTTCATATCTATCTATCTATCTATCTATCTATCTATCTATCTATCTATCTATCTCTGTTCATATCTATCTATCTATCTATCTATCTATCTATCTATCTATCTATCAGTCTGTTCATATCTATCTAGCTAGCTATCTCAGTCTGTTCATTATCTATCTATCTATCTATCTATCTATCTATCTATCTATCTATCTCAGTCTGTTCATATCTATCTATCTATCTATCTATCTATCTATCTATCTGTTTCATAGGAATTCTTAAGACCTTTCATTTGTACATTTTCCGACTTTATTTCACGGGAAGCTTTTGCAAGTCATGAATAATGTTTGGTTGAAATTAATGCCAATGCTTTATATAAATATTGGCATTGTTTCCTAGTTAGAGAAATGGTGCCAATATTGATTCCAGTAACCCTGCACACTGGCAGTTAAGTTTGTAACTTCTTTTTCTGTGTGATGTTTCCCTTCAGGATACGGCCGGTCATGGTCCTCCAAGTCTTCTCATACTTTAGCAATTTTTCTCCGCCTTTGCTAAAGCTCCCCACCACCGTTCCATCATCCATTCACCCAAGTTTGTCAGGTCGGTGCCTTGCTGCCTCCACACACCTCCATAACACTCTTGCCCACAATATGTCCCTGTGAGGGTTAAGTTTTCCAGGCCCTCTTTCCTTATTATGCATCCAAGGAATTTCAACTGTCTTTCTTGATTCTGAGCATATGCTTTTTTGTTGATCTTTCGTTGCTTACTCTTTTTGCCATGGAATTCTCAGTATCCTTCTGTAGAAACACATTTCTGTTGTCTCCAGTTTTCTGCTCAACCGTGGGGAGATTGTCCACCATTCACTGTCATCTAAGAGGATGGATACTATATAGAAAACTTGCACTCTTTTCTTTGTTTCTAAGGATATTTTTTACGATACCTTAAAAGAGGTTTGTTGGCAACTTTTACTATATCGTGTGCCAAGACGTATTGGAAGAGCAAAAGAGGACTTCCAAAAGCTAAGCAAAGTATTAAGAAATAGGAACATTTTGTTTGAAATAAAGAAAAAACTGTTAGACTACTGTATCGTTTCAACCTTCCTATATTGCCATGAATGCTGGACAGATGAAGAGGAGACTTGAGGCAACTGAGGTGTGATTGTACAGGAGGGTGCTGAAAATATCGTGAGCAGAACATGTGAGATACAGAAAAAATTGTCGGTCGCCTGTACCGCTCCAGTAAATAAATAACTCCCCTTGTTATCCACTATATTTATAAGAGCCAGATCAGGACGAAAATGGAGTACCTTCGCCATATATGGGCAGGAGTTATCCAGTCTGAACTTTCCAGTACTGATAGATTCCAAAAGCGTCTCCGCGTCTATGTGGGTGATGAATTATTTTCTACTCTACAACCTCATTCCCGCTACTCTATCTTTATGTCCATGGAAAATGTTCAAATGAACACCAGTTCTAACCTTTAGAAGCTAAGACTCGTAATGCCAGGCATATTGTAACAAACCACTCTCATTCCTTTTGTGGTCTATTGTTGAGATGTAAATTCCACACGAACAGCTTCTTCCCAAGAACCGCTGCTTTGTGGAGCTGACTCCCAGGAGAGTGCTCTCTCGATCACTATAATCTTAAACTGTTCAAGTCTAGGCTTAACCGTTATCTTTCTTCGGCGAACGTGCGTCGGTACAGACGCAAAAGCGGCCCCGAATCGCGTGAAGACATGTTTGTCAAGACTAATTACATCCGGAATTTTCCCGTTAGCAGCTAGACAGCTTGGTATATCTAAATACGGACCTCTCTGCAAGTGGTCAAGATCCGGGTTTTTGTAAGATGCCTCATGCTAATAAAAGCAACGAGAAAACCTGTTGTGGTAAACCCTCCTACACTAGTATGAACTCTTCCCCCTCTAACTGCGAGACTTCCTAGCGTAGAGTCGTAGGGCAGTCTCTGACTGTGTGCAACTTCTGTCGAACTCTCTGTTTTGGCAGAGAGGAACCCGGACGAAGCTTTGCCGAAGGGCTGTTTCGTCCGGGGAGGTAGACAGGCCCTTAACCCGTTTATGCGTGTTCAAAGGGAATATTTTTGGCCGAGTCTACGGGCTCGGAGAAACCCACGTTAAATTCGGCCTTGTGCCACATACATTCCTCGCGGGGGGACTGTTAAATATAGAGTCGTAGGGCAGAGGAGACGCAGTGTTAACCTGACCGTTCAGACTTACACCTCTATCTGCTTATTACTAACACTCTTGCTTTGTATATATCTGTTATTTCAATACCCTTGTTCAACCTACCTTCGTCTTCAGTGTCTTTCTTTCTGGCCTCTAAACAGGCAACAACAAAACCAACAGTCAGGAGATTGCAAGACACGGTGTTTTGTGGAGTCAGTCCCGTAGGCACTTTGTTCCTAAAGTTGCTGGGGTTTCAGAGGCAGTGTCATTTTTGTTATCTCCCGTCTCTTTCCCCTCTCTTCCTGTTACCCACGTAGTTGCTTGGGAGAGCAATCTCAGCACACTATTTCCTTAGATTTACAACACTTCCCCCACAGATCCCAATAAACTGTGTAAACCTCTATCTCAAGTAACTCTTGCTCTTTGTATAGGGTGAACATTATTGTAAAAAAAAATGCTGATGAAGGTCGGAGGGCATAACGACCGAAACGTTGTGATAACAAGGTACATGAGTACAATAGTCCTCAGGTAAATGATGTAAATAACATCTGGAGTACTTGGAAGTTATGCCGGATAAATTATTCATTAATTCCTTAGGTATTACTTTTCCCAATCATAACTAGTTTTCGCCTTTGCACTAACGACATTACAAGTTAAAGATACTGCAGAAAAAAATTACAGATAAACTTGTTATATTCTGTCGTGAGATTATTTTGATATTTTGGTTGCTTGAAAATAATGCGACTTGTTTCAAAACTGTGTTTGTGTGTTAGCTGCAAGAGGGAAAAGGTCTTGCGATTCAAACCTTTCCAAACAAAAAGCAACACCATTGATTATACCAGAAAACGGCTTCGTTCATTCAAATCATTGCTACAAGCCCAGTATTTTTCTATCTTTGCTGATAATACACGAAAGAAAAATATCAGAACGTAAAGAACTTAAAAGTTTCTATGTATTGTTCTTTGCCGCCGATGGCATTGATATTTTTGCTGGTATCAATCCAAATCTTTTTTTATTTTTGCTATGAATTTAGTAAAGTGTTTATTTTTTTTCTGGTTTCTTTTTGTGGAATTTCTTTTTTTTTTTTTCTCTGGCAACTTTTTACACTTTCTCTATTTTTCTTTCTTTTCTCATCCACTCAAGAAAATTTATTTTCAAAATCATTTATTGTACTAATTTTATTAACGATAAATAATATATAATGATAATCTAGCATATAGTTTATATGAAAAATCAATAATTATTTCTCTCTCTTCTTATTCTACCAATCTCGATGGTAAATTTCAAATCAGCTCCATTTTCAGTTCCACCAGTTCAGACATTTACAGCTAGAAGACGCCATGTCACTCCCCCAGAGCCGAATCATCTTTATTTTCTATGTGTTTTGATGTTGCAAACAAGCCGATTATATCAAGGGGGAGTCAGCTACCGAATGCAAAAGTACGTGCAGTCATACATGTTTTTTGCATGCGTGGGAACGAGAATGTTAGCTAAATGGATATATATATATATATATATATATATATATATATATATATATATATATATATATA